GCTATTCTTATAAAAATATAGGTGCATGATGCCACATTTACTTTTGCGACAATTTATTATAAAAACATAACAAAAAATAAATAAAGAAACAAACAAACAAATAAAGAGTAGTTTTATAATCAATGTTTAACATACAATTTTCAGCTAAGAAATTGTTAGCTGCTCAGGATGCAGATGATGAGACGAAGAAACGCTTTCATGACATTGAAGACAGAGGTATGTGTATTGAGGATAAATTTTGTAAAAAATGAATATGTGGTAGCATGTACTTGTTTGTCTTTTAATTGTTTTCTTTATAGATTCTTCCGGCAGTGATTCAGACGATCCAGATAAGGAGGTCAATTCTGCAATCTTTCTTCAGGTTGTGACTTCTACAAACCGAAACACATTTTAAATATGCTTTTCTATTTTATTTACAGCAGTCATTTATTCTAGATGAAAGCCCCAGTTGAAGACATGCCGTCTGCTTCAACCAGCAATAAAAGGCAAAATGAAGACTCTTTAACGAACGATGTTGAACCTAAACGACCCAAATTAGAAGAGCCGTACTGCTTTTTTCAGTTATACTCGACATCAATTTTAATAGTTTATGTCAATTCTTTTTCTGAATTCGGAATTAATTTCCCTAAGTGTTTATATATACATTCGTATCTTTATGCCAAGTACTGTACTGCTTTGTTTAGCGGGGAAAAATCGGTTTCTCAATCGAGCGGATCAGCTCCGCCAGAGGGTCTTAATGAGGAAACTGTACGTCGTTATTTGAGGAGGCAGGTTTTTTCTTCGTTAGGCAGCTTTTAAAAGAATTTTTTATTTTAACCGAAGAAGGTAAGCTTCATTTTTGTGCTTTAGGAAACCACATACAACCAAGGAGCTACTGTCTAAGATCAAATCGAAATGTGGTGATATGGAAAAATCCGAAATTGTTCAACGTTTAGCAGCTATACTTAAGCGCATCGAGCCTCATCAGTTTAAACAGAAACACGGGAAGAAAGAAGTTTTGTTTTTTTCTTTAAGTAATACACTTGCTTAAATCGTTTTCCGGAAAGGAGCCAAAGGCTTTTCTGTGCTTCAAAATCTTGCGGCTTTGCAGAATATACCATTGTGTAGCTGTTTTTTTGTTTGTTTGGTTAGTCTTTCATTGAAGGTCTTGATTTGTGAATTTCTCAACTTTTTGGAAAGCTTTTATAGGGGTTCAGGGGTTTCCAGTTGGTTTTTATAGCGATGAGGGGACGTAGAGATTTGTTGTGACGGTTTTGTTACTCACCAGTCAGAGAAAGTTTTTGGAGGAGTTATCGGTGTTAAAGTTTTATCCTATTCTTTATCTTTTTCATCAAAGTGATGCTTCTGAACTAATATTATTTTTAAGACACTTCATTTATACAATTTTACAGGCTCCTTATGACCTGCATTTAACACGGCAGCCTTTTACTAAATGCTAGACCTAGTTTTTTCATATTTAATTGTATGGCTTATTAATATGCTTTATGGCAGTACACGATATTTATACGACTTGTGTAAGCATCAAAGATTGTTAAGCAGCACAATACATATGAGATTTGAAATCAGTAGTTATTCAGTTATGGCTGAGTCAAAGCGTTGGTCGTGGATTTAAGAGCGTAGGGAGCAAAATTGGTAGATAAATAGCAGCTTATTAATAGAGGTAGTCTTTTTAGAAAGGCAAGGCAATTAGGCGATTTCTTCGTAGCAGTGTGAGTAAGAGTCAAAATTTTTGATTTTCATTTTAGTATGTGAAAAGTTTTGTAGAGATGCACTAAATAAAGTCATATTTGCTTTTGTATGACTGATTACTTGAGTGTTCCTTTGGTTAATCTTTGCTACAAAAGTTATAGTCCACTTACAGTCAGTCTTGCCGTTGCCTCGCCTCTTAAGGAAGCTTGCTACTCTTCAGGAACTGTTGATATCAGTAACTTGAAAATCAAGGTTCTAATAGTTTTTTCACATATAATATCGTGCACTTTTCTTTGCCAATTGTGGTACTGCTTTTATGGGGCCGTTGCAGTTAAACGTGATCACTACTTTATTCGATGCCCTTTGTGGTAGTGTGTTGTTCTTTTTTCGTGTAGAGGGCTTTTAACCTTTTGCTGTGTTTCTGTAATAAAATCGGGTTTTCAATTCACTTTCTAATTCTTTAAAGACTGTTACAGATAAGCATTTCGACTGTCCCATCTTTTCAAGACCGAGTTTTTTGATAAATTTCTTTAATGAAAAAAGTTACGTTTGGTATTCACATTTTTCAATGATTGAAATTTGGAACCTCTAGGTTTACCTCACACAAATTTTCTACCTACAGTCTACTTTCTTCCTGAACATTTTCAAGTCAGCTAAGGAACGTAATAGTGGCACTGCGTTTTTGCCTGTGGGGCTTTATAGTCCACCTTATGAGTCGAATAAAGAAATGAAGAATTTTAAAAGGCGGATTCTGGTGGGGTGTTGGGTATATGTGTCGGGTTTTTCAAACATTGCTGAATGAGGCATTTGTCTACATATGCAAAAGCGAATAGGTTACTTTGCTTGGAGTAGACGACTGGAATTTTTGAATGGTATGAGAGTAGATATTTTAGTAGATTATTACTGGTGAAGTAAATTAAGTTTGGCGTTGGGTGCGCTCAACTGCAAGACTGCTTTCCTCATCTGTAGATTTCTCGGCCAGATTCATGTAACTTTCCATTATTTCTTCCCGCCTCGATAAGTTCTACGTCGTCTTTGGATGTAGTTATTGGTTTTCCAGCTTTGAAGAATGTCGGTGGGTGTAGGCCACGTGAAATTCTCTGCAAGGTTCTTGCCTAATTATCGAAGAATCAGTTCATTTTGCGTTTTTTCTATGTAGAAGGGATGTAGTACTTTTGTTTCCTATTTGGCTAAACTGCTTGAGTGATGATTTGATACAATCTGGTTTGTTAGAAAAGGTATCAATATGAGTTCATTAACCACAGGTTTTGACGGGTTTTTCGTTTTGCAGGCCGAAATCTATGCAGTGTAAGTATTCTGTGGTATATGGCAGAGAAACGATTAATGGCTTTTTTTAAATAAAATATTAATTTGCATAGTGGCAATAGGAAATTTAGCTGCTGAATGATAAAGTTTACCTCTCGTAGTGTCCCTTTGCACTTACACAGATAATATACAGCGTATAAGGGTATCCCGCCCATTGAGCACGAAGCTAGAAAGAAGCCAAAAATTTGTGCCCAACGTGGGTAATCTTCCCCTGTTAACGTTTTTTCCGGTGTGTACTGCCATATGCAAAAGATTAATAGCATCTGTAATAATTTTTTAGTTCATTTCTCGATCGGAATTAGAGAATATACGCTTAATTATCTACTCGAAGAAAATTTTGAAAGATGGGTGAAAGAAGACCAATGTTTTTTCAAAGTTAGCTGGGGCAGTGCTTTCTACAGAAGAGTCAAGGAGCTCCATGATTCTGAGCTATACTTAGTTGTGCTACGAATTGGCAACTTTACTGAATCGTTATTCTTGGCTCGAACTTTTAATAAATTGTAAATTCACAGCGTTCTCGAACCAATTGAATTGTACCACAATTGGTAAATTCTTTCTCTTAATACAGTTTAGTAATAGTAAAGTGAGAGATAAGGAGAAGTACTTTAGTTGTGTGAGCTGTGCATATCAAATAAGAAGGAGAAAAATCTGTGTACAATTTACCGTGGTAACCATTGGTGCGTTATATTTCCATATGTAATTCCATACAATCGAAAGGTTTAAGTTTATCATAGTTTTCAGTGCACCTCTGACGTTATCGGCACCTCAAATTAACAATCAGAATTAATTACCGGCTATCACTTGATTTTGAAAATCATCCATTTGATAGGACATCTGAAAAACTAGTGGGACCGTTTCGAATTCGGTTGCTGTTCTGTTTGCCTAGGAAGGATTAAAACTTTTTAAATAATAGTATTGAACTGGTATGTAGTGCAATGTGTGCTGGTAGAGACAAAACATACCGAAGCCCCAAGACAAACCGACGACTTCACATATAACAACAAACAGTAATGCGATTCCTGAAGCTCCGTACCCGTCAAATAACGTTAACCAGTACGTTCCTGCCTAAAGATTTTTTATATGAGTTCGTGATTATGTGGTTTTCGTGGAGCTTTGTTAAATGAGTCGGTTCAGTTGGAACAAACTGAGGTGTAAGTAAGAGGTTTAAGATGAGGAAAATTTGGCAAATTTGTATCAGACGTTAAGTCGTTCTCTTAGGTTGAGAACTTCTCACTGATCTTACATAGGACACCATCGGGATACCAATGATGAAGAACGTAATACAGGTTACTAGTAAAGATATTTTCTTATACTTCCTAAACACTGACGGGTAGACGTCTTCGATGGCAGTGAAGAGACCTTCCAACATGCAAACCTAAAAGTTGTTGGCTTTAAAGTTGTACTAGTGAATGCTTAAAGATTTCCATAAAACTTTTTAAAATAAACATTACTTTTTTTGAATTAAAATCGCATTGGTTACACTTCCACGTAATAAATGCCTGAACTAACTATTTTCACATTTTCTTATTCTGCAACTTCATCCTTTCAGTTCTTAACTGTAGGGTCACCTTGAGAGTCATCTAGCTCAGTGACGGCTAATGCGGATCTTGTGTTTTCTCTTGTGTTTCACTTTTTAACTTGTTTGAAATTTTTTCAGTTTTCCTGATTTTAAGTCAATTAGTCCGCATTTCTGGAAGTAAATTTTCTATTTTGTCATAAAAGCTTTAAAAAAGTATAATTTGGGATTTCAAAGCTATTTTACTCTTGCTAATAAGGGTTAAGTTTTATATAGTCAGTTTAAACTGAACAGCTAAATGTTCATAGGTACTAGTGAGAGCGAGGGACCTAGGTGTTCAGAAGAAGTTATGAGAAATAGAAAAGACTACTGATGATATTAAGTTTAACGAGTGACACTACTGCGAAAAACTTATTTTGGTAGAGTCAATTTTATGTCATTTATGCGTCTATATTTCTATTTGATAATCTTCATTAAGTACTCAACAAGATTATCAGTTCTAAATGTTTCGTCACTTGTTTGTTTGCTCGCCATTCACAGCTGTATCTGTGAATAAAGTGTTTAAAAAGCTGGGAGGATATGAGAAAAATCAAGAAAGAATTTTAGTTTGAAGTTGTTTTCCAGCTGCAGAAAAAACGGATTTTTACAGAAAATGTCATTTAAACTACTCTTAGGCTATATTACTGGTACCGTCCTAAATTTTAAATCTGATTTGCGACGGAAACTGATAGGTTTTTTGGGGTTTTTAACCCCCGTCTTTTTACGGGAAAAACAATCTTTGAAAGATGGCTTTTTGAGACTCTAATGAACAGAGAAGGGGGAACTAAATAAGTACATTTAGCCGTTCCAGATTGGTGTTTTATTCTGTTATTTACTTGTCCTCACCGAAAAGTTGCCATCAGAAGTTAGTTCAATCACTTAATGCTCACCTGACTGTCAAGACCGATTATTGTGATCATCAAGAAGAACAGCACTGACCAAAATTGCTTGCCAGGCAACTTGGTTGCGACCTCCGGATAAGCTTGAAATGCCAGTCCGACGCCTGAAAATACAAACTGTTAGAAACCAAAGGGGACTTTTTATATAATCGTTACCCTTTAGATTTGTAAATAGTTTCAATTTTTGTAAAAAAGAAAAACTGGGAATTAGCTGACCTCCTTTGACAATATCACCAATTGGTTTCAAGGTTTTATGCGACATATAACCCAGCACCGAAAATACAGCAAAACCTTAATAATAATTTTGAAGCGAAGTGAATGCTTTAAATTCTTTTTATGAATAACAGAACTCTTGGAAAAAGTGGAGTTTGAAGCTTACCAGCAGCTATACTTGTCGATCCATTAATACAGCACATTATAAAAGCATCTCTGTAACCATTTTTTAACTTGAAAACTTTATCAGTTTGCAAAAGTTAGTTAATCTGATAGCTATTTATGATTAATCTGCTAAAAGAAAAAATTTTTTTAGAAATAACATTTTCGTTTGCTTAACAGCTTCTGATATTTTTCAAAAAATACTTTATTACATCAGACACCAACCGAAAACAGTTATGATTGAATTTGTTATGTGAGCCAAGAGCTATAAGAGCACCAAATCCAACACCATAAGAATAAAATACCTAAAATTTGTATAACTTTTATCTTACATAAGAACAGCAGTTGAGGGAAACGGCATCATACGGATTATCAACTTGCAACAAATGCTTTTTTTGATATCAGGTTAAAAAAGGCTGTGCACTAGCTAATATTAATGTCCACTGGCAAAATTTTACTTTTTTTTCGACTTTAGCAGTTCACACATGCTGGTATACAATTTCAAATGTACAAATGAAAGTGGTGAATAGATAATAACGTCAAAACATTTTGCCATGTATAATATGTCGTTTCACTAACGTGTACTAGTTGACTAATCTATAATGTTTGCTCATAAGTGTAATATTGTAAAATTCATAAATGGTACCTGTGTTCCTGCATCTTTCCATACTGTTGCATGAGTTAGGGCAGTAAGATTGGGCATGAGGTAGTACTTGACCCCCTCGAAAGCACCCGGTAGAGTAAGGCCACGAATTAACAAAATAGCCAGCAAAAAGTAGGGAAAGAGTGCACAGAAATACACAAACTGTAAAAAGTGTAAAGATTTTGTATAAATTACAGAAATATAAAACAGACTTACTGTACTCTACCGCAATTATCTGTAATACCTTTCTAGCCTGCGTTATGCCTTTCCACAAAGCAAAATAAACAAGGACCCAAGAGAACAATGTTAAAGCAAAAAGTTCCCACTGGATACCTCCAAAATCGGCTATTGAATTAGACTGCATTAGCACTCGTCTTCTAAAATCTCCGTCTTTTTCAATGAAAAAGCCTTTCTAGCATTCTAGTTCATCAAAATGCCTAACTAATTACCACAACAAAATTCATTTTCATTGTATTAAAAAAACTCTAAGATAAAATTCAATAAAATTGCCCTGAAAAATTTTTCTGCAGAAGGTTACAGCTTTTGATGTAACTCTAAAAGTATAACTCAAACCAACTCCCAGAATTGCTCCACACTAGTTTCTATATTTGCAGTGCCGTTTAAAGCAATCATCATTTGTCTTACAACTGAGGCATTCTCGTTGCCAGTCAGACATGTTGCTTTGTCATTCCTATGAAAAAATGTCTCAAAATTTTGTAGTTATGTCAGCAATTATTAAAATTATATCAGCATTAAACTGCTCTTTTTTGTTTGAAGTTGCTTTAGCAGATTGAAGAATTAATTGAATTCTTATATAAAACATTTGTTATATCAGTTCCTACCACCAGTTATCACATGTCTCCCAAGGAAAGGTTGCATTGAATGAGCTTAGCATGTAATACATTGCCCAGCTTATAATGACGCAGAAATAAGCGATACACATAAACGATATCATTACATTACCTATTCCAACTCCTAAAAAATATTTTTAAAAAAATAATCTTATACATGCAGACACTTCATTTCTTTGTCTACTCGTTCAACAAAAATTATAAGTGTTTGTATCTTTTGAGATTTTTTGAAGAAAGTTTAAACGAATTGGTGGAATAATACCACTTAAAAGGAATGTATGTGTTACATTTTGAAGCTGCTGAAAATATGGAGACCTTTAAACAATGGACACATCGTCCACACCTCCATTGCACCGCGCTGTACATACTGGCCAATTGTAACTTCCATTACAAAAATTGGTACAGCACCAAGTGCAAAAAATATTCCATAAACCACAAGAAAGGCTCCTAAATGATCGAATTTGCCTGATTTTTACACTTGGGTAGTCAATTACTTCGTTTTTTAATTTTAATTTTAGTTTTACATTTTCTAGGAAACAATAGTGAAACAACACACAGAAGAAAACAGTGGCTTATGACCAATAGAAAACTGGGTTTGAGGTAGCAAAAGAGAGTCTGCTAAAAAATGAGCATACCTCCGCCGTTTTTGAAGCACAGGTATGGAAATCGCCAAATGTTTCCTAAATTTACTATCACAGATAAACGTAATTTTGAAAAAAAACAAAAAAAAAGTGAAAGCAACTGTCTTTATATATGTAAAGTAACGACTATTATTTGATTTAAAAAATTGTATCCTGTAATTCAAAAAGCAGTTTAACAAATGCTCTGAATAATTTTTTTACCAGATAAAATTTCAGAGTAAAATTTAGACCAAACAAGAAGAATAGCTAAAAATTACCTAAGCCAACAGCGTAAGCTATCATTGACATGAGAAAGTCAAATTTGCCACTCCATTGGCCTCGATCGAGACTTTCACTGTCATCAGAAGCATGTGACGCAGACATGCCAACGCGTTTCTTGTCGGCCTAAAAGGGTATCAATATTACGTTTCTACAAAATTTAAGTTAGAGCAGGAAACCAAGAATCTTCATTTGACTGTAAAAACGGTAAACGATAAAAATTTACCAGAAAGAAAAATAAGTAGAAAAAAAAAAGAAAAAAAAAATTATGGATCAATTTCCATGCATAAATTTTTAATGCTTGAAAAGTTTGTTGAATAAATTTGCTAGCTTCTAATCAGCTAACTTTATCTAGGAAACGCTAAGATTAAATAGTTTAAAAAAAGTAGATTTTAAATTTTGCCAAACCTAAATTAATCTACTTTTCTGGTCTGGCACAACAGAAAAATAAATTTGTTGTGCGGTTGTGATGCCGTAAATCTTTTTGGTGGAAAGAAAGAAGTTTCTTCATATTTCAGGCTGTAAATAAGGAATGAAATTTTTACAGTAAACTAACTTAGTCGACGATTGACCAAAAAATTTAAATTATGCTAATCGAGTTTATTGTTTTTTAGAAAATGTCGGTAATTGTGAAATTTTTTAATTAAAAAAATGATGCTAAAGCTTATCACTAAAATATAAAACTTTTGTGTGACACATATTCAGTTGAGAGTTTTTCAACAAATTAAACAGTAAAATAAATATTTGTAGTCTTTAATTCATGATTTTTGGGGTTTTTTGTCACTATTATTTAATGCTTTCTTCTAAACCGTTATCAATAAAATCTTTGTTTTCTAAATTCCGGCTAACGCTCAAACAATTTTATTTTAAAGTTTCTTGCTGTAAATCACATTTTGTTTATGATTACCTAATTTAACTGCTAAAAATCTCTTAAATATGTAAAGCTGAAGCATCAGAAGAAAAGAAAGATATTGTAACTGCCAACGTTGCTTTATCTACAATTATAATTTGTTCACTGTATTAATATTTCAATACTAACCCTGCAGTAACTTCGCCGATTTTTAAATTACATTTGCAGTTGTGAAGAAAATGAAAGAAAAAATATTGCCAATAATACCTATTTTACTTTATAATCAAAGTAACAGAACAGTTTACAAGTTAAATCTGAACGTTCTTCTAAGCGCAGGTATAAATATTAAAAATGTCCAGTATTTTTAAGCAGTTTCTAAAGAATCAGAAAAATTCAAAAATTACACTTTAAGCTCTATTTAGGTCTAAGCAAATTGCAGACGAAAAAAATTTTTTTTAGATTTTTTGTCATAGCAGAGTTAAAAATGGTTCTTTGAGAAGTAATCTCAAACAGATTCAAATGCTCCGCGCAGCGGTAAGCAATGTATGTTACGATAAACGAGAATTATATTAAAAATTTCTATTGTATCCTTGACAAATAAAAAAAAAAAACGAAAAAGTTATAGCAAAATTTAAATATTTTCTTACTTAACTGTATCATTTGCGGTTACTTATTTCTTAATAAATCTTACTGTTTAAAACATTTTATAAAATTAGTATTTTAGAAAGTCTAATCATGTTACTGCTATTGCTCTGTAGGCAACAGTGGCAGTTCTACATCTAAAGAAGTTGTTTTCGATTATTCAAGACAAGATCTACAAAATTTTTGATGAAAAATATATTCAGATGCTTTAAAATAATAAAGGCTATAAAAAAAAGAAAACAAATGTTTGAAAACAACTGATAAAGGATTCAGAAGACTTTGTTCTCATCTGTTTTGTAAAACAACTAAAACAGGCTTCTGTTAATTAAATTCTAAAAATAAGAAATTTTTTATAGACAAATAATGGAATACAAAACAGAAAAGAGGTACAAAATTATTGTACTCTTAGTTAATTATGATACAATCAGTTGTACATTTGTAAAACCTTTTTTTTTTTGCACAATACTTCTCTTACAAAACCTTAGCGACTTTGATACTTTATTTCAAAAAGATAACGTACAGTACTAAGCAATTTTATTTACAGATTAAGAAATGTTTTGATTTCTTATCGCTATGCCTACTTTCAAGAATAGATTTACGAATTTATTGTAATTTATTGAAAAGCTTTGTTTTAAATATAAAAATGATAATCAGTTAACTTAGTCACATTTCTTGTCATTGCAATGTTTTTTTTTTTTTTT